ACCCTGATTCTCTGCAGTTAACATGTTAACATGCTAGTGTTGATTTTTAAAAGGTTTAATTTCTCAGTTTAAGGTCAAATAAATCATAAATGTTAATGGATTAAATGCCATTCTAATGTGCTGCATGCAGACCTGATGGTTGTGGAGTTGATTTGTTCAGCTGTGTGTTTATTACTTGATAAGTGCGCAGCATTATGAGCTGTACACCAATTAAAAAAGGTTTTTTTCTAAAGATGAATTTAGTTTTCCTGTACAGCAGCCATTTGAAGGGGTCTTAAAACTGATTGGTGGATCTGAAGGTTTTCTGTTGCCCAGAAAGTTCAAATATGTTGAAAATACAACAATCAAAATGAGAAAAATGGGTTTTATAACTTTGAAATGCTTTTGTTTTTCTGTCACCGTCAGAGCACGACGGTGCGCCCGTCGGCGTGGAGCGACGTAGACATGGCCAAGGAGTTTCCTGTGTCGTCAGGGTCCCAGCATCGTAAGAAGGTCTGGATGAGACCAGGTTCATTCTCTCTTTGTTTCAAGCCTTTTCTCTCTTATAACGTGGCGCATGGTGACCCGTAGGAGGGCGAGGGAGTGGTGGCCTATGGAGAGTGGGTTCCAGTGGAGAAGACGGCTGAGAAAGCCACTTTTCCTTCCAAGAAGGCCCCCCCAGCGCCGTGTGACGCGGCTGTGGCGGATCCAGGGTTAGCAGACGTCGGCGAGCAGCAGCCACCGCCGCTTCCCGACAGCGACAGCGTGTTCCCGGAAACACGGCAGCAGGTAAGACTTTTTGAAAAGCTTCCTGGATGGAAGAGAAACGTCTTCAAACTTGGAAACAAAGTCCAGCGGATTGATTTTAACTTTTTAGAAATGATGATGACCTGGATGACTGAGAATCTTCACTAGCATGTCGCTAGCCTAACCTGGCGATTTAGCGCTAACCGACCAATCAGAGGACAGAAAATCCTGATGTAGAGGCAGGACTCTAAATCTGAAATCTGATTGGTGGTAACATGAGCCAGCTCTGCTGATGCTGAAGGCGCTGGGCAGATTAGATGACATAGCAACACACTGAGGCTATAATCTGATTGGACGAAAAATCTAACAACCAGGTAAATGTAATGAAGATAACGGATTGTTTGGAATAAATTACTACAGTTGGAAAGAAGAAATGAAAGTTTGTTCCTTTGAAGGCCCTGACTGACCACCACTGCTGAAACTGAGACCTGTCCATATAAACCTTTATTTAGCCACAGTTTGGTGTTTTAACCACTTTAATCTAACGAAAAATGATGTAATGTTTTATGTTAGTTGATAAAAACTCCACAGATCCACATGTAGGTTCACTTCTGAACCAGCAGGTGGTGCTAGACTTCTTTAAGCCAGTTCTGTTCAGTTTCTGAAGTTTATCCCTTTATAAATAAAAACTGATAAACACCATTTAGATCTAAAATTATATGTTTATTCTTTTTGTTTAGCTCTTTAAATTTTAACAGAAATGTCTAATCAGCAACATATTTTAGTGTTTGGTGGAATGAAGGATATTTTTACAAAGGATTAGGGTGATGACACATAGGCCTTCCTGCGCTAGGAAGGGTTTGATGACTAACGCCTCGTGGCGTTGATGAGCTCTAAAGACGGAGGAGGAGCTGCAGAGGTCAGAGGTCACCCAGCCAGCCGAGGCGATGGGAGCAGGAAGCAGCTGCTCCTGGTGGATGACAAGCGAGCGGGTGGGCTGTAGGGGGGGGAGCGGAGTAATGAGATCAGCCATCAGCGCTGACAGCGATCACGCATCTCTGACAACACACAGACGGTTAGCTGCCCCTGATGCTGCTGCTGGCTTCATTTACATCTGAGTGGAGGAACAAATATGTCTGCTGGTGAAAATTCTCATCATCCGGGTCATAATCATTCCAGAAAAAGTTAAAATCAATCCACTGGATTTTGATTCTAAGAAACTTAACGGCAGAGCATCCGACATCCGTCACCTAAAGGATGTAATGGTTTGTTTAAGACGGAGCGGCCGATGTTCAATCAGAGCTCTGCTGAGTGAAAAGGCAAAGTTAGATCCGACTCATCGGAGCTGCACTTCACTGATCTAAAGTGTTTGCTCCTCATTTCAGCAAATAGGAGCATTTAGGAGAAAAAAG